GCTTCCTCCTGGGCCAGGACCGTGGCTGCCCGGCCGAAGCTCATGCTGGCGGCTCAGAGCCTCGCTACCAGCGCCCGTGCGGTCGCCTCCGCCTGGAAGGGCCCGGGGACCAGGGTGCGGGCGGCGCCGACAGCTCGTCAGACTGGGCCGCGCCGCTCGAGGACCCGCTGCGGAGCTGCTGCCTGGCGGCCGCAGACGCCGACGTCGATGCCGACGACGACTCGGGGGGCAGCGAGGACTCGGAGCGGCCCACAGCCAGCCCCGCGGGGTCCGTGGAGCGCGAGCTCGCCGTCACTCCAGCCGGGAGGACTAGTGGGGGTGCCGAGCCGAGCCTCGGCTTCCCGGACGGTCACTTGAACTCCCGGAATACGTTCGAGGTGAGCCGCCGGCCGACCACCGGCGACCACCTGCCCCCGGCGGAGCGGCCAGTGCCATCGCCCGGCATGGAGCCGGGCCCCGCGGGGACCTCGGCCCGGGCTCGGCGGGGTGGAGGCTTTGCGGACTTCTTCGCCAGGTACCGCACCGGGGTTGGGGCGGGGCCGGGGACCTGCGGGGAGGGCTGCGTCGGCTGCCTCCCGGCCCCGCCGCCGGTTCCGACAGCTTTGATTTGCAGGTAGGGGAAGAGGAACCCGGTCGGCTGGCTTTGTGTTTCTGTGGTTGTGAACTCTGTGGGAAGCAATCTTCCTGTTGTCCCGTGGGGCTGGAGGTGTCCACACCACGCTCCCCGAGTGCCTGTGCAATCAGGCTAGCCTGCCTGCTGGCCAAATGTGCAGTTGCCTGTCCCGGACCAGCAGACAACCTCGCCCCCCCCCCTTTTTTTTTAAATAATTATACTTGAAGGGCTTGGATGGGGAAGGGCTATGCCTGCGGGTGTGGCTGGGGAAGAAAGGGAAGTCATTTTGTAGAACTGTTAATTTGCTTGGAGTCTAAACCCATTCCAGTGGTGTGAGGATTCTTGAAATTAGAAGCCATGGTTTTTCATTGGATTTGCTTCAGTGGTCTTTACTAAAATGCAGTCGGTTTGGTACTTAGAATTAGATGCTAGACATATATGCCAAATTACTATAGTTACGTAGGAAATCTCTTTACTTCTCCCAGAGAACTCTCAGTTAATTCAAAACTTTTAATTAAATTTTTTTTTCTTGAGGTCCTAGGGATCGAATCTAGGGCATGCTAGGCAAGCTCTGGACTACCAACGTATATCCCCAGCCCCAAACAACATCAGTTTAAAGGTCTTTTATTTTTAATTTGACAGGACATTCTGAAATTGAATTATAGTGATAAGAAAATATGATTCAGAATGAGGCTTTGATGGTTTAAACAGATGCAGTGGGAAAATACATATCTCAATGGGCATTACTGAAAAAGCAATTTCACTTGAATTGCATTTTGATACCATCTTACTGCCCTCCTTCCCACTTCAATCTCTAGGCAAAAAGTATTTCTAACATGTAACACCTTCTTTTTAGGGGTCTTGACTGTACCCAGAATTGAAACATGCAGTTTAGGTTTTAGAAAGTTATACAATTAGTGTGTCGACAGAGACAGTTTCCTGATTTTTATTTCTTACTCTCTACTATTTCTTTTTTTTAATTTTTATTTTTTATTGTGAACATACTGTACAGAGGGGTTACAATTACATGGGCAAGATAATGAGTACATTTCTTATCAAGCATTGCAGCCTCCTCCTTTGTTTACCCTTCACATCCCTTCCCAGCCTCCCCCCTCTCTACTATTTCTTATCCCTATTTTCCTTACTTAAGTAGTTTTACAAATAAATTACATAGTTTCTTAAATCAGTAAGAAATCTTGATTTTGTGCTTCTTAATGACAAAATATATAGTAGATCTGTATTTGTACTTGTAATTGTAAAAATATATTTAAAACTTGCAGCATCAGTACTATATTCACAAAAGGTTTCAAAATGAGTTAAATTTATTTGTGACATAAGTTTATGACGTGACCTTTAGGTGCTTATTGGTCCTCATATCTTGATTTTGTTTTGAGATCAGATATCGTGCAATTTTAGACCTGGATAGGGCCAATTCAATTAATAAATTAGCTTACTTTGTGGCAAGTATTGGGAATAGACATGATTTAGACAATGGTCAATGACTTAGAGGTGAAATGCAGCCTAATGGGGAATAAGTTAGAAAAGACACATACATCTGGTTGCAATTTACAAACAGTAGCAAAGGAAATCTATTTATTAGAGGCTTTCACATTATTAGCAGTGTATAGAAATTCCCATCAAATTAAAAACCTTTGACTTGTAGCATAATTAGACTTTTAATATAGCTAGATTTTATTCAGATGACCACATTAATCGGATGTATCAGAGCACTGGATTTAAAATCAGAAAATTTAGCTACCCTTAAGTTTATTTCTTCAGCCTGTATTTTTCTTGAGATCCAAATTTCAAGACTCTACAAATCATTGCTTCCTTTATATGTTATTCTTGGGAAAGGACAGAGTGGGATACAAATTTTCCTTTAATATTTAGCAAAAACCTTAACTGGATTCTTAACTCTTTAATTCTTTTTTTTTTTTTTTTGGTCAGTTGTGGGCCTGAACTCTGGGCCTGGGCGCTGTACCTCAGCTCTTCAGCTCAAGGCTAGCACTCTACCACTTGAGCCACAGCGTCACTTTCAGCTTTTTCTGCTTATGTGGTGCTGAGGAATTGAACCCAGGGCCTCATGCATGCAAGGCAAGCACTCTACCACTGAACCAACTCCCAGCCCCAACTCTTTAATTCTTTTTTTTTTTTTATTGTGAAAATACTGTATAGAGGCGTTACAATTACATGGACAAGATAATTAGTACATTTCTTATCAAGCATTGTTGCCTCCTTTGTTTCCCCTTCCCATCCCTTCAACTCTTTAATTCTTAATACTTTATTTCTGATGATTAATTCTTAAAGAGAAGGACAGATTCATTGCTGAATCTGCAATACCTGGCAGTGGCATCAAGAACTCCATTCAGGTTGGGTTGAATTGGTAACTTTCAAGGACTCCCCTTCTTCACAGTCCCCCAGGGACTGTAATTTTCAACAAATCTTGCATCTCAGGCAAAATAATCAGAAAGTACCCTTGTCCCAGTAACTCAAGAGGCTTTTATTGTTGCTTTGTATATAGTTGCCATTCTTAACTCCAAAGTTCCTTTTGGTACTATTGGCTTTTTCTGAGATAAACTCTTACTATTTGGTACAGCTACTCCCACCTCATGAAAGAAGGCAGTTCATTTTAGTTAGTGCATTCAAAAACCAGGATTTCTGATTCCTAGTATTCCTGATTTACTTTATGGTTCTTTTCTCTCATCTGTTTATCCTCTCCCCTTCCCTTCTCTTTTTCTTCCACTTCTTTTTCTCTTAACAGGGTAAAAAAATCTATTTTAAAAAAGTATTTAAGAATAGTTTTTTAAGTAGTTATAGATAATTATTATTTTTTATTATTTTTTTTGGTTGCTCGTGGGGCTTGAACTCTGGGCTTGGGTGCTGTCCCTCAGCTCTTCAGCTCAACGCTAGCACTCTTCTGCTTGAGCCACAGCGCCACTTCTGGTTTTCTAGTGGTTTATTGGAGGTAAGAGTCTCATGGACTCTCCTGCCTAGGCTGGCTTTGAACCATGATCCTCAGATCTCAGCCTCCTGAGTAGCTAGGATTTATAGGCGTGAGCCACCAGCACCTGGCTGGACAATAATTCTTTTTTTTTAAATTTAATTTTATTTTATTTGTGAACATACTGTACAGAGGGGTTACAATTACATGGGCAGGATAATGCGTACATTTTTTTTATTTTTATTTTTTTTAATTTAATTTAATTTTATTTGTGAACATACTGTACAGAGGAGTTACAATTACATGGGCAGGATAATGCGTACATTTCTTACCAAGTATTGCAGCCTCCTCCTTTGTTTACCCTTCACATCCCTTCCCAGCCTCCCCCCTCCCCCCTGGACAATAATTCTTTATGACAATTTATTATTACAAAATTTTAAGGTATCATTGGTAGCTGAAGCTTCATTGACTAGGTGAGAATTCATGTAGAAGATATGGGGATTTGTTTAGAATGGCTCTACTCTAATTTTGAATGGCTTCAGTGGTGATTTCATGCTTTCCTTCTGTGAGGGAAGTTCTGTTTCAGTCTCTCTTGGGAACTTGCTTCTGCTTCAGCTAAGCATTGGGGGCCCAAGGGGTAGCCTGCATATAAAAACTTGAAATGTGAGCTGGTGAGGGTGGCTTACACCTATAATCCTAGCTACTCAGGAGGCTGAGATCTGAGGATCATGGTTCAAAGCCAGTCTGGGAAGGAAAAGTCTGTGAGACTCTTATCTCCAGTAAACCACTCAGAAAACTGGAAATGATGCTGTGGCTCAAGTGGTAGAGCGCTAGCCTTGAGCTGAAGAGCTGAGGGACAGTGCCCAGGTCCAGAGTTCAAGCCCCACGACTGACAAAAACAAAACAAAACAAAAACACTACGCAAAAAAACTTGAAATGTTAGATGTGTGCCTTGAGCTTCATGTTCCTACAACTCAACAATTATGAGTGAAACCTTTTTTGGAATCTCTTGGGCTTCCAGCTATGCTTTCTCTACCCTCTCTGCTCCTCCCCTCCCTACCCCTTTTCTCTCTACCTCTCTCCTCCTTTCCCCTCCACTCCCTCTCTTTCTTCCTTTTTCTTTCTTTAAATTATTTTTGTGAGACCTTCAAGAAAATTCATGCCTTGTTTTCAGTATAGGATGGCTTATTTTTCACACATAGTAAACCTCACATATTTACTGGCTAATATTTCTTTTTTTTTGGCTAATATTTCAAATGTGAACTGAGTTAAAGAGAATTCTTTAAATGCAGTTTGATTTTTTTTTTTTTTTTGTCGTAGGGCCTGGACACTGTCCCTCAGCTCTTCAGCTCAAGGCTAGCACTCTATCACTTGAGCCACAGTGCCACTTCCGGCTTTTTCTGCGTATATGGTGCTGAGGAATCAAACTCTACCATTGAGCCAACTTCCCAGCCCCTTTAGTTGTTTTTTAAGATATTGTCTCACCAGGCAGATAGGGTCTTATTACGCAGCCCAGGTTGGTCTCAAAACTGGTAATGTTTTTATCTCTGAGATTATAGGAATGAGACACCACACACAGTTTAGTCTATATTTTATTTCCTTTATGATTTGGGGGGGGGTTATGTGTAAAAGGATGGGGAAGATAGCAATGCATGAGAGAGAATACGGTAATAGTAAACTTTAATCAATGAACTGGAATTTAAGATTTTTATTTCCATACCTTGAGTAACTTCTTGGAGGTTTCCAGTGTTCCACTTTGATGAACCAGTATAATAGTTCCAGTATTTGATATACAACAAAATAACCTAAAAGTAGATTAAAAAATTAGATTCTCTAATTCATAATCTTGATCTAGTCAGATTCAGGAGAACTGGTTTTGACAGGTAACTTTCAGTTATTAAAAGTTGTCCCCAGCTGCGTACCTATGGTTCATTCCTATAATTCTGTCTCCTCATGAAGC